TCTTATCCTATCTTTACTTATTTCGTCCGTTGGACCCATTCCCGGTTCCAAAAGCTAGTTTCGAACCCACGACTCGCTCTCCACCAACCATCTGGCTGCCGTCCGCAGTGTCTCCATTGGTGACCTTTCTAGCATCATCCAAAAAAGGTTTCCGAGGTTACAATAGCTCAAATTAAAGCTTATTTATGCGCTTTCATAATATTGTGAGCATTTTACTCTAAAATGTTGATTTGATACAATAAAAATAATCAAAAAACACCGTTTTTTACACCTTAAAAGTGCCATAAAAAATTATAACAAACAGTTTGGAGTTGCAAATACTTACTCCAGGCATTGCCTTTCATAACGTGCGGGTTTCAAAAATTCGCTAATTAATGCTCATAATAATCCGATTTTGTCTATAGAGCTTGGAATATTATTTCAATAAACATAATTATATGAAAAAGATCAATAAGCAATTATGTAAACCATCACAAGTATTTTATCGGCATATTTGATAAGAACCTTGTTTAGCTAATCAATTACTGAGTAATCAATTGGATTGGCAGATAAATAAAAAACAAGGAAATCGAAACCGATAAAGTAAGTTAGACACGGTTCAAATATTTCTACAGTAAACATAGACATATCAAGATTAGGTCTACCATGTACTCTATAAGCTTTTTGGCAAAAACAAAATTCATGCATTTAAATGTTTTGATAACAAGCCACTGATTCGATTTGTACTCAATAGGTTGATTACTTAAATCTTCAATCAAAGATTAAACTTACTTGAAGTATTATTTTTTTCTAAATTTTATTAGTTTTTACATACGAAAAGATAATTTCTTGTGAGGATTTGAAACACATTTTTTAAAGTATTTTCTACGTCTGCTCAATATACACTGAGGCAAGGTTTACACAGCATATTTTGATTATTTAAGAATTCTATTGTTTTGTTATTATATTCTATTTTAACAAAACAATAGAATTCTTAAATATTCAAAATATTGAAACGTTACACAAAGATCCGACAGAAAAATATCAAAAAAAAAAATTAAGCTAGCATTAGAAAATTCAAAATCTATAGTAAAGCCAATAGAACAGAAATACCTTAATATCATGAACCCACAGCCTCCTAAATTATACTCTTTCATTAAATTTCACAAACCGGATCACCCAATAAGACCTGTAGTTTCTTTTATACAGCTCCGTCATATAAGCTTTCAAAAAAACTGTTAGAGATTATTTTAGAACACACTAAATTTTTACCTAAATTTACTATAAAAAATACAATAGAACTATACTACGTTCCACGTTTAGAAAATAACATTGCAGAGATAGGGCCATGTATTTCTTATGGACGATAGCAACGCGGCGTTGCCACGACACACACAAGCACAATTTAAGGTTGTATAATTTGTATTTTCGTTTCCACAAACATGAATTAAATTAATGTTTTTTAACGTAATTGACCACAAGTGACCATTCGAAACAAGAGATGAAAAGTAGGGAAAATGATTTTAATTAGATAAATAGTATTTACAAAAGATAATTTTATTTTATCTTATTTTAATTATAGTAACGACAGTTTATTTGTTTTTCGGTGAGAATACGATATGCCATGAATCATAGAAATCAGTAGAAAATATTGACCGCGTATATCTAATTACTAATTGCAACTTAAAATAATACGATGTGCGTATGTCAGCTATTTTATGTCGTTCTCTGACTACATAGTGATAATAAGGCTTTTATTTAGTAGTTATTCTGACTTTACAGTTAAATGTTAATTGAAAATGAAAATTCAAAAATTAACCAAAGGGAATATCTTGGACATCCGTGCAAAAGAGAGTGTCTGAGAGTTTTGGCAACACTGATCTCCATAAGCGTAATGTTATTTTCTTAACTTGAAACAAAGAATAGTTAATAAAATACAACATTTTCAATTACCTAACAACTCCAGATTAATTTCATTTGACGTAAAAAATCCTTTTCCTGGTATCCCTCCTACAGAAACTTTTATTCTAGTAAAAAACCTTTTAGACCAAAATACTACAAATCCAATAATTACATCTGAAATTTTACATCTTCTTGAAGTTTGCATAAACCAGGACTACTTTGAATTTAATAATCAAATATATACAAATAAGAGTGTAGGACTTATAATGGGAATCCTCTAAGCCCATTGCTATCAGAGATTTTTATGGATCATCTAGAGACACAGATTTCAAAACATCCCGTATTTAAAAAGTTTTTATATTGGTGGAGATACGTAGACGACGTACTGAAATGTTTCACAAGAAACTAACAGGCAACTCGGCCAATTTTTATCGTATATTAATTCACTTCATAGTCATATTGAATTTACAATAGAAATAGAACAAAATCAAGCCATAAATTTTTTAGATTTAAAAATTATCAGACTTAAAAACAAACATGACTTCTCCATATTTCATAAACCTACCCATACTGACACGACTACACAACATAAACTGGCAGCCTATCATAGTATGTTACATAGATTAACAGAAATTCCGATGTCAAAATACAACTTTGAGACAGAATTAAATATCATTAAGCAAATAGCAGTAAACAACGGATACAACGAACAAACAATTAATAAAATGATTAATTTCATCACCACTAGGCATTTCATTGCCACCTAGGCAAATATATTAAAAACAACAAGAGCCAAAATAAAAAAACACTTACACGGTGGTGTGTACAAACTTAAATGTGGCGACTACCCAAAAACTTACATCGGCCAAACTGGTAGAAACTTTAATAAACGAATAGCAGAACATAAAACGGCTTTCAATAATAGAAAAACAGATTCTACATACGCATTTCACCTTCTAGATCACAATCATTCTTTTAATTACAAATTGAAAATTCTTCACATTCAAAATAAAGGCCTTAAGCTATCCTTGTTAGAATCTATGGAAATCAACAAATTAAAAAACACATATATAATTCTGAATGACCAACTTGAGACAAACAGTTCTCCCCTCCACAACCTATTTCATTAGAGACTCAAAAATAGAAGTGTAAACGCATGCCAAAAATAGATCACTTGAGAAAGGCAATTAGCCGAAACAGTTGTAGTGATAAGAGTTTAAAATAAATTTTGTGGAAGTTTGAAAACAAAGTTTTCAGTGTTTTATTCTTACATATATTTTTATGTAACTTTTGTTGTAATTTATGCCTATTTTTTATGTTTATTGCTGCTAAGTTTTTGCAGTTTTTCGCAATTGTTTAAATAAATTATCAACCAAATTTAATTTAGAAGGTCTCAAATGAATCGTTTTTTCATAACATTTTAAAAAAACATAAATGAAAACTTCTAATTAAAGGATTTTTCACCTAAGAACGCCTCTTTGCAATTTAATGCTCTGGTAACTTTATTACTAGCGGACCAGATAAGCGGCGATATATTTTACCCTACCTTTATGAATAACATTTTACTGCTCTGTTGTTTCAATCAGAACTGCTCAACAAGTTATCGTTTATTAGTTTTTAATTTTATTGCAATGTTAATTTTTTAAATTTCTTCTGACGTATCGTATAATATATGTTTACCCAATAATTAAAGTTATGCATTTACAAGAATATATTATTTGAAAAATAAGGAGTAAATACCATATGTCATAATAATTGTAATCTCAGGAAAAAAGACAGTTAATATTTTATACACACTTAAAAAATTTGTTTAGTAATGTATTTTTTAAATCCACAAAATCATTGAAAAATGATTCATGCTGTTTAAAATATATTTCTCTTAACGACACTGTCATCAACAAAGTAGCTCAAATTCAAACGTCATCATATTTCTCTTCTGTTTATCATTAAAAATTAATTGATAGTCGTGGGCTGTATTTTTGTGCTTTATTAATTTAACAAAATAAATAATCAGCAAAAACCTTATTTAAAACATGCGAACGGTTTTTTGCAATCCTGCTAGCGAAATATCAGACAGTGAATATGACAAATCGTTTGCTAAAATGAAGAAATAAAAAAGTTTTTCGGGAATTCAATTCAAACTTTGTGGTGTGTTTTAGTTAAATGATAAAGTACCTTTGGTGTAATTACTGGACTGCATACTCTCAATAGCTTTGATATTCATTACTGGACTACATGTGTTTAAACATTTTGTTTTGCTGAAAACTCGGAAGTGATTTAGTGCTAATTTGTTTCAAGGTTATATTTAATACAGTGTCTGCTGAAAGTAAAGTCTTGGATGTATTTTATTCAAATTTGGACATACTAGCAACTTGGCAAGTATTTTCCAATTTTAACTGCATGCAAAACCATTCGTATAATTTTTATTCTACGCAAATAGAGACTTATAGAGACCTTGATGAACATTTGATGTCGACAAATAATTTCAATTATTTGAAATATTTCGTCCCACTTCTTTTAATCGCCTGTATATACATATTATATTCATTTTATTTGCCTTTGATACAGTAAAATCCAATATTATTACTGAACATAAAATACAGGAAATTAAATATTTTTACCTTTCAAACGATCTAAATTAAATATTAACGCCTCACTGTTTGAGGCCTACTGATCATATCTTAATTACATATCGGCCTTCATGGGCTACAAGGAGTAGACAAGAAATCCATATTTTCATACCAAAACTTCTGAAACGAATTACTTTACATTTTTTTTTGTTTATTGGACTACTTCTAATAATAAGAAATATTAAATGGATTGTGGATTTACAAAAAAAAGTAGATCTTTCCATAGTGCGATCTGAAGGATGTTTTGTGGGTACCATACAGTTATGATTTAATACCAAAGATATTAGCATCTTACTGGTTCTAAAAACGCATGTTCCAGGTATTTATGATGTTGGTGACAATCGAAGAGTTTGGGTGAATTGGAAGCAAAGAGTTCTTGGCTCGAAGATACATATGGATGAAAAGAAATTTGCAAAACTTTGCAAAAATAATAAATATAATAAAAATTAATCTAAAAATTTAAAAACATTTTTTAAATTCAGTACTTACACTTGTATTTCACAGGGTTTCAGAATCCTTCCTTTATAGATAATAACTTTGAAATATCTTCCTTTATGATAAACTACTATGTGATTCGAGTCCAACCAGTGAAGTATTTTATCAGTCTCTTTCCCAGGTATTCTGGTAGTGTTGAAGATCCTCTCGTACTGCCACGCACACAACGGAACTAGACCTTGGACTAGAATCGGTTCCAGCTCTTGCCTCTCGACTAAACGTCTGAAACATAGCAAAGTGTATATGGTCGATCCTGCTCTAGCTGCTTGGTTTGTGGTAGGGTGTAGTAAAACTGTGTCGATACCGTAGAAATTCGAGTTGATCATCAATGGGGAGCGGCCTCTGAGGTAGACGTATTCTTCCCACCAATCGGAAACGTAGTTGGTGGACCACCAGGACTTTAATATGAGGTAGCGTTGGAGCTTTTTACCAATACCGTTTTCGAATTCGGCAGCTAGTTGTTCCATTCTCTTATATTGTTCTTCGTTCAACAAAGCCTTCACGCTTAGTAAATACTGAAACAAAAATGGTTGGTTCAGAAGAGAAAATAAAAAATGTACATATACAGCTTATATTATATGATGATTTCTTTATCAAATGATAAAGAAATATAATTGTCTTAGAAATACTTTATACCTATAAAAATATAAGTGATGAGTGGCAGTTCGCGGTGAGTTGTCGACGAACTACATTAAAGCTACAAGAACGTAACATTTAAAAATCTGTAAAATGTCAAACATTTGTCAAACAAAAGTAAAGGATGACAAAAATACGTCTAAAATATCTCTCTATTTATTTTGTAACTCATAGCTTCCTTTGGATTGTGTGTGGTCACCTATTACAAGCAAGTAGGTAAAAGTGCTCTTTCGGAAAAATTGAGAATTTGGGTATGTACACTTTATATTTAAATTAAAAATCGGGCAGATGCTATACCTATAGATGCAAAGAAGAGTTGAAGTAAAAGTTTTTAGTATTATCAATTTTAACATAATAATATATTAACTTTTTATATTGTAAGTAACGTTTTTGTGCCAAACAGCAATTATTACGGTTCGCTACAATAAAGGTGACCATACACTTAAATCGACGGCAAAGTGGCGTTGGTGAATAAATATCGTTTTAATTTTCGGCTCTAAGGAAACTCGGGAAAACGGGACTTATAACGAAAAGTAACTAGGTAGAAGTGACCCACATATAAACACCGATAAGGGTGAGATCTTCGACGGGTTGACTGGTCGACGACTCTTTTCGCGGTGTAGGACGGGGAAGGAAAACAGCGAAATAACAAGAAAAGCCCAAGAAAAATATTGTAAGAATGGACAGCGACGAATACTCTACAGATGAAGGGGGAAAAGAAGAGAAAATATAGATTTTTTTGTAAACAGCAAAAAAAACACCAAGAACTCCTACAAAACGCCAAACAACTGAATCTGAGAAATTAGACCAGTTATTAATAATGATGAAGGAAATGAACACAACTCAAAAAGATATGAAGCAAGAACAGAAAGAAATAAAAACTAAAATAAGAGAAACTAAAGACCAACAAAAGAAAACAAACGAAGCTCTACTAGAACTGACAGTAGAAAACGAACAATTAAAAAAAGAAAATCAGGATATAAAAAAGAGAATTCAGAAATAAGGAGAGAGTTACAAGAAATGAAAAAGAAGTCGAAATAATCGAAAAAAAAAAAAGAAGAAAAAAACAACATTGTAATAAATGGTCTAAAAATGGATACAAATAAACCAAGCATTCTAAAAGAAAGAATAAAAGGATTTTTTAATAAACATGTTCAAATTGATATTACACCTACAACAGTTAAAAAAATAGGTGAGAATACATGCGTAATAGAACTAAGAAATGAAGAGGAAAACACGAGATCATGGCAAAAAAAATATAAACTAAACAACGTCGTAGGAGAGAAAGTATTCATCAATGATGACTTGACCAGAGAAGAGTGACATCACAGGTAATGCGCAGTTGAGCATATTTGTACGCTTCGTGACAGATAGTTTCGATGTTGTAGAGGAGCTATTAGATTTGCGCCAACTGGTCTCCACAACAGGACAGGATGTCTAGGATGAAGTGAAAAATGTTATTGAAGGTAGCAAAGTGGAGTGGTCGAAATTGGAGTCGGTTTGTACAAATGGAGCGCCTTCCATAGTTGGTCGAATCAAAGGATTTGCAACGCTACTTGAAAACTTTTTAGGAAGAAATGTTTTCAAATTCCATTGTATAATCCACCAAGAAGCGTTATGTGCCAAGGACCTCGATCTATCCTCGGTGATTGAGCCTGTATCGCGGTGTATCAATAAATTAAATGCTCGAGATAATAATCGACGACGATTTCGAGAACTTTTTCAGGAAGAAACGGAGGAGGCAGGTGAATTACTGCTTTATTGCAGTGTTCGACGGTAGTCCAAATTGAATGCACTGGCAAGATTTTGGAATTTGAAAGAGTGTGTTTTGCCATTTTTGGAGGAGAATGAGGAATTCCCAAACGAGTGCTCTCTGTTGAAAAATGAAGACTGGCTATGGGATTTAGTTTTCCTTGCGGACATAATGGGACATTTGAACATATTAAATTTAAGATTACAAGGAAAATATTGTATTTTTCCAACCTTAGTTAGCCACGTAAGCTTTACTTTTTTATTCATATTTTAATGAAAAAAAGCTCACTCAATTTAAATTCATTAAGGAATTATCCATCAAATTAAATAATGTTCGAAATTACGATAAGTTTAAAAATTTAATGTCAAGTCTTCAAAGCTCATTTATTACGAGATTTCAGGATTTCGAGGAGGAAAATAAAAATATTCAACTTTTCACAAATCTTTTTCCATTTCACTTAAAGACGTTGAAAATTATCCACCGGAATTCCAAATGGAAATAATAGATTTGCAAAGTAATATTTTGTTGAAAAATAAACATAACGAGCTTGTTTCAAGTACAAGTAATTCCTATTATATTGAATTTTGGAAATACGTTTCCACGGCTGATTTTCCATATCTTCACAATTTTGCTTTGCGGTATTGTTGTCTTTTTGGTCCGACGTTTGTTTGTGAAGAAATGTTTTCAATTATGAATGTTATTAAATCACATTATCGTTCAAAATTAACCAATAATCATTTGAAAAATCCAATTTTATTAGCTGTAACAAAAATTGACCCCAAAATTCAAGATTGAATTAAGATAATTCAGATTCACAAGCCACATTAACCACATCAACCATAAACATGTACTGTACTACTATAATTGGTTTCAAATGAGTGTAGAGTAATAAATCATGAAGTGTCATAAAATTTCCTGAATTTCGGTGTCGTCATGGGCGTAGGCAAATGGACGGATGTCAACTTCGTCGTCAAAAATTGATGTACCCCAAAATATCATATTTTGGATATTTTGTGATAACCAATTTTATTTAATTTTTCGATTAACTTATTCTTCAAACTCGTATTCCATTATATGGTCATTAAAGCTAATTACATTTTTATTTATAAAAACAAAATTCACTTCCTTACTGAACGAATAAAAGCATTAGAAGAAACTGATAAGGGTATGACGCACCTCCTAATATTACTAAGAACTAAAATAAATCAACATGAAGACTAATAACGCGTAATGAGGTTTTACTTACACTTTCATTATAATCCCTCTTTTATTTTATTATTATCATTCGACATTCGAGTTAGTAATTGTTACTACACCAATTAAACGTACAGTAATATTGTGATATAGAAATAGTGAAAAAGTTATAAAATGACGACATTTACTCCAAAGAAAAGAGGTGTAAAAAATTCTCCGCTATCTGTTAGTGAAAAAGTTATAATTTTAAATGTATATGATTGCATAAAACACGATCACCTAGTTTGTCTGTGCAAGAAAGTGTTGAGCGATGTGCCCGAATGACTGGAATTGGACAGTCCACGATTTTTTAAATTATTGCGAGAAAGAAAGATATCAGGCCAGTTAAGTCCATGCAAGAGAAAATCAGGAAGACCAATAAAAAATCTTAGGTGAAGACACCAAACGTGACATTCGAAGAAAAGTTCATTCGTTTTATTTTAAAAAGGAAATACCCACCCTTGACAAAATACTAATGGAGATAAGCCAAGATAACGATATTCCTTTGATATCCAGAAAACTTTTATGGAAAACTTTAAAAAGTATGAATTTTTCCTGGGAAAAGCACAATCGAAAGGCACTATTACTGGAAAGTGATGAAATCATTTGCTGGAGACGAAAATATTTGAGAACTATAAAAACAGTACCGCAGAGAGCACAAGAAAATTTTTTATCTTGATGAGACGTGGATTAAACGAAGGTTATATAGTCCAAAAAATGTGGCAAGATAAAAATGTAACAAGTGCTCGCCAAGCTTTCATAGAAGGCCTTTCGACGGGTATTAAAGTGCCTTCGGGAAAAGGGAAGAGGCTTATAATTGCTCACATTGGAAGCGAAGAAGGATTTTTAAAAGAAGGTTTGTTAAGCTTTGAGTCGTGTCGGACGGGAGATTATCATGACGACATGAAATCGGATGTCTTCGAAGACTACTTCGGGGAAATGTTAAAATTTCTTCCAGCTGATTCGGTCGTGGTTATGGATAATGCAAGCTACCATTCAAGGCGCATAGAGAAGGTACCAACTTCAGCTTGGGAGAAAGCAAGAAAATTATTAACTGGCTGTCAAATAAAGGTATTCAGTTTGAGACGAATTCAATAAAGAAGGAACTACTAGCCGTAGTAAAACAACATAAATCCCATAGAACTTATATGGGCACAAGTTAAAGGATATGTTGCAAGGCACAATACCACATTTAAAATGAAAGATGTCAAGGTATTGTTTTGATCAAGCCATTATGGAAATCACATCAGAAAACTGGCAAAAAGCAATCCAGCATGTTTTAAAAGAGGAAGATAAAATGTGGGAACTGGACAACTTGGTCGATCAGGTGGTTGACCCTATAATTATAACACCAGGGGATGATGACAGTTCTTCGGATGAAGACTATAGTGATGTAGAATTGTAATAACGTATCCAGTAAAGTTTTTGTAGTTTTTGTGAATAAATTGATTTAAACTCCCCACAAGTGTTTCAATATGTAAAGTTCATTCGTGTGTGTTTGTGAGTATTTCCCGATTTCGGTTCGTATATATTTTATTGTTACATTTTATATTTTTTTAATAACACTGTTCTGCTGTATTACATTTTTATTTCCTTTAATATGATTTTTAAGAATGCATATTCTTTTGTCAATTAACCCACTAGCGCGCCTCTGTCTCAGTGTTTATCTGTCGATAACAATGGACTAATCCCTTAAAACAGGGTGATACCTACCTGCTCTTTATGAAACGACAGAATTTTGCAATGCGGACGGAATTTATTGACGGATTACCCTGTAGCGCTTTTGAATACTTCATGAGATTTTATTACTCTACACTCATTAGAAATAGATTATAGTAATTAACAATCTCGAGTAGTTGATAATTATATTTTTTACTATTTAAAATAAAAAAGGTTGTAGAAAAAGTATAGTATTCTACTCACATGTAATGGCACTCCGATGAATTACGACACTCGCTTTCGCTCGTGTCGCAAACTTCATCATCGTCAGTAATAGCCAACATTACATGCTCGTGGAATAATATACTATTGTAGCTACATATTATTTTATGTTATTTCATACTAATTCCACCTACCTATTGAATTTTTTGTTAAAAAATTTTTGGTGGCATGACAAACTTTTCATAAACAGATAGTGGCACACTGTTAAGAAAGTTTGGCCACTCCTGATCTAAAACATTTCAATGTACAATATTTCGACATATAAATAACAACTTTTAAAAGAAAAGAATAAAGTTAGAACATAAAACAACATGCTATGATCGTATTTTGAGTTATTAGCATATATTTCATATTATAAACAAAAATGTTTAATAAAAAAAAAACAACAAAAAAAAGTTGATAAGTGTTAAAAACAAACAATATTCTCGTAAATATGGTTATATTTAAATGAGTTAAGTTCAAGGCTGAATACTATGAAATTCAACAAAATATTGATGTCAAATTTTGTTATACATTATAGAAATGAAGGTCGCGTTTGTAGGTAATTAAAATAATGGTTGGTTCCGTAATTAATAATCAGACTATTATGGTTATATTGCTTACGTAGTAATCACAATAAAAAGGTATTTTAGCAGAAATATGATATAATATGTCTGTGATTTTATTATAACTGATACCGATATAATATTTTTTTTATTAAACCTTCACAAAATACATCAACTCTCGCTATAGCGATTTCGGTGAAAAAACGCATATTATGTTAAGTAAAAGTAAATAAAAATTTAACAAAAATTAAATAAAGATATATCCAAAGCTGTTAGACAAGACACTCGAAAACACAACCAAGAACAAATCGAACATACTATTGAGAACAATAGAAGTATGAAAGTATTGAGAAAAAGACTAAGGACGGGGACAAGGCAGATAATAAAGATTAAAGATAGAGATGGTCACCTTACAAACAACAGACAGGAAACCCTTAAAATAGTTTAAAGACTTCTACAAATTGCTGTACACCAGTCAACACAAAGAAAAATAACAGAGAAGATCAAGTACGAGAAATATTAACAAGAAAAAAGGGCATTGTCAACCAAGGATCAGAACTACTACCACTACCGGAAATCACAATGGACGAAATAAAACTAGCCCTAAGAAAAGCTAAGAATAACAAATCTCCAGCCGAAAATTGTGTAGTTACTGCTGCAATCAAAATCGGAGGCACTTGCCTACTTAAGAAAATAAAAAACCTTTTTAACATATTAAATTTACAATACATACAAGAAAGCAACTATGTCGGTGAACCTACATGAAAACACGGATCATATCACGGCAGAGAAGTCCGACAGGGTGATACCTTATCGCCTAAACTATCGCAGTACTAGAATATGCTTGTAAAAAACTTAACTGTGAAGAGAAAGCCCTGAACATTGACGGTAGAAGATTAACAAATTTGAAATTCGCAGACATAGTTTTGTTCTCGGACAACCTCAAGGAGATATGTACACATACTACATTAGCCTCATGAACCACCCACTCAAAATATTCTTAAACATCATCCATGCTCGCATATACAAGAAAGTGGAGGAGGGTATTGCTGATGTACAATTTGGATTTCGCAGCGGTCTTGGCACAAGAGGAGCACTTTTTAGCATACAAGTATTAATACAACGAGCAAGAGATGTTAATACAGATGTCTTTGTCTGTTTCATTGACTTCGAAAATGCATTTGACAAAGTACAGCATAAGAGGCTTATTGAAACTTTGCGAATCGCAAACATCGATGACAAGGATATAAGAATAATAGCCAATCTCTATAGAAAACAAGTAGCCAAGATTCGAGTGGACAATCAATTATCCGATGAAATCCCAATACAAAGAGGAGTACGACAAGGTTGTATACTCTCGCCTTTGCTGTTTAATGCGTACTCTGAATATCTATTCCGAGAAGCTTTGGGAGAAACGATTTATGGCGTGATTGAAATCGGTGAAGTAATAAATAAGATATGTAGACGACACTGTAATTGTTGTCGATACGAGATTAAATGTAGGATCGAAAAAGCAAGGAGTGCCTTCAACAGATGAAGAAAGTTCTCTGCAATTTAACCTTGAACTAACATATCCGACTCAAAATCCCTAATTGTTATGTGTTTTCTGTTCTTATGTATGGAGCAGAGGCATGGACACTCACTGATGCGTCTTGATGACGGTTGCAGTCTTTCGAGATGTAGTGCTATCGTCGCATGCTCAGAATATCATATGTACATCATATAACTAACGACGCAGTAATGCAACGTTTACAAAAAGAACCTGAAGTCTTAAAATCCATTAAAAAGAGAAAGTTAGCATACTTCGGACATATAGTGAGAAACGAAAATAAATACAGAATCCTACTATTGATATTAGAAGGGAAAATAGAAGGAAATAGAGGACCAGGACGCCGCCGAATATCCTGGCTTAAGAATTTGAGACAGTGGACAGGTATGACCCCCACAGACCTATTTCGAACAGCTGCTAATAAAATACGATGGGCCATTGTGGTAGCCAACATCCATAGAGGATAGGCACTAGCAGAAGAAGATGTCCAGGAAGAAGAACGTTCTGGTTAAAAAAAACCTAGAACTTGGTTTAACACGTCTGTGCAGCATTTCTGCGTTGCTGCAGATCTAGAACAAAATATGAATGAAATGTCAGTTGTTAGTTCAGATTTCTTTCCTTGGCGGCGCTAGCCTTATGACACAAAACGTAGATAATTCCATAAAATTCTTCAATACTAAAATTTATATTTCATATTAAAAATACGCACATTTCCTTCAAACCATTTTGTGATCAAATTTGACATCGTTGTTAGCCACAAGATTCTGTACTGCAAATCAAGGTTAGACGGAAAATAGGCAGGATAATATACTCGTATGCATAAAATAAAAAATTTTAAAGTAGCTGATTACATATTTCATTATTTTAAAGTATTCATGTCAATGCAATTAGTATTTCCTATTTACCAATAATTAACAGACAATTAAAATTGTAAGATAGTTGCCAAATCATTAATAGTGCGTAATAAAATCGAGAGCTGAGGTAAAACATTCCGAAATTAATAGATCATTAAAAATTCTTTTACATATTTATATTTTGTCAAGGGCTTCCTATTTGAAAGTCCAAACTTTAAAGAACATGTTTTCCTACTTAAATGGTTAGTAAAAAATGTTACGGCTTATTTGGAATCAAGCCGATGAAATCCAATATCTTATTTGAATTTTATATTATACGTAAATTGTAGTATATAATAGTCATATTGATTTAAAAAAAATTCTAATAAAACAACTTACCCGTGTCATTGTGTCGTGTACATTAGGCAGAGGTAGTCTAGGCAGGGATCCCTGATAACTGTACAATTTCGGAGTGTTCCATCCGATAAAAGATTTGACTAAAACTAACCATATTCTCGACTTCAAAGAAGGCTTGCTTCCCCTTGCTCTCGATTCGTACATCCATCCTTTGTACATAAACAGTAATTTTAAAATATACCTAATAATATATATCGCCGTTAGCCAAAAAACTAGTGATGTTAGGAAGCAGGCTATCAGTTGCCAGTGTAGTGTGTCACTGAAAACAAAAAAAGTTGTGAAAATACTACAAATAAGAACTTTTATTACATATACTACATTTACGCAGCCAAATCTCAAATGTGTTATTTATTTATTTAATACACGGGATAACCCCATTAACAGGTTTGGACAATCAATAAATCCATATATCTTATATATGGACATATCAGACATATCAAGACGGTTCTTAAGTGAAGGTAAAGATAATTGTTGTTCAATATGGGAATAATCACGATTTTCAATAGTAGTGTAAGGTAACGGTAAGCACAATATCTCAAAACTTTATGCTGGACTCTTTCTATTGTATCAATATTGTTCTGAAAATATGATGACCAAATAACTGAACAGTATTCCAAAATAGTTCTAATTAAGCCAAATACACTAATCTTGTTGAATTAATGGAGAAATTCTTGCAATTCCTAGCATCGAAACCAAGAAGTGTAGATGCGTTTATTGAAATAAAGTTTATGTAGTCACAGAAAGTAAGCTTCTCATCGAAAATAACACCCAAATCCCGAATAGAAGAAACATAATTCAGTGGATGATTATTAAAATTCCAATTTTATTGACTTCCACGGGAAAAAACTTATAAAATAACATTTTTTACATTTAAGTGGAGTTTGTTCTGATTGCACCAATTTTGTAGTCGGTCTAAGTCATCTTATAGCAAGGCTTGATCTTTTAAGTTATCTATATCTTTCCAAAATTTCAAGTCATCTGCCAACATTAGACATTTGCTATTTAGGAAACAGAAAAGTGCCGTCGTTAACGAAGATTTTAAAAAGAAGTGGAAAAGTGTGGTCTCCCTTGAGGAACTCTAGATAATACTCAGATACTGTCAGACAGATGACAACTTATCTTGACTCTTTGAGTTCTCCCAGATGTAGAGCTTTAATGCTTTGCCTACATTACTTAATTTTCCCAAAGTGTTTGGTGATCTAGACGATCAAATGCTGTGGGAAAATCTGTGTAAATTGCATCTACCTTTTTACGGTCTTCCATATGAGATAATATATCAGATTGATAGCAAACCAAGTTTGTTGCAGTGACTTTTTTGCTATGAAAACCATGTTGTGATTGAGATATTAAGCTTTTACATAACCAAGAAAATTGCTTTGCTATAAGACTGTCGAAGGGCTTTAGGAATTTCAGATTGTATACAAATGCTACGATAATTTTCAAAATTGTCTTTCTGACCATTTTTAAATACAGGAACAACAGAACTTTCTTTCCGTGAAGAAAGAAAACATAGAAGTTTTCAGAGATCTATTAAACAATATAACAAATGGTATTACAAGGGTATAGACACACTTTTTTAATAAAAAATTATGCATTCCATCTGAACCAGCAGTAAGCTTATTGGGCAGCTCATTTATGCTATTAAAAATATCAGTCATGGTAATCTTAGGACAAATATTTGTACTAAAGTTGCTATTTAATGGATGGACAGGTAAGTAAAGGTAATTATTTGGTGAATACACGGTTTGGAAGAAGTTCATAAATAAATTAGCTATGTCTTGACCATTTGTTACAGATTGGACTTGATAAAAATAAGGAGTTTAGGTAGGTTATGACTAGATCGCATATCCTTGATGTATTTCCAAAATGATTTTGGATCGTTTCTTAGGCCAGTATCTATACCTTTAATAAAGTTGCTGAAGTAAATTTCAGACAGTTGTTTATATTCAGCTCTTAGGTGGGAAAATCTAATAAAGTCATCAGCAGAACGATTATTAACATAAAAATAGTGAGCATATTTTTTTTCCAGAGTCGGTCTTCTAAGATCAGCAGAAAACCACTTGGGAAAAGTTGAAGTTCTATATTTCTTCAATGGTGCAAAGTAAGCAATTCCTATAGAGAGAACTTCATAGAATAATTTTGTAGCAACATCAATATCACTAACCATACATACCTGCCAGTCTATGGAAGCAAGGAAAGTTGTTAAGCGCAATGTAATCGCCATTCCGAAAATCATAAAACAACTCATCATAAACCAACTTATTTCTATTTGTTTCCTTCACATCGAAATTCGTTTAAGTTCAGAGACTTAGATGGGCTGGACACATTGATAGGATGTCAGATCACGAATACACGAAAAAATTAACATTTTCAAAACCAGAGGGCACAAGAAGCAGAGGATGATCACGAATGAGATGGATTGATGATGTGGATGAAGATCTACAGATTATAAAGGTTACAAGATGGAGGGAAGGTGCCATAAATCGACAGGAGTGGCGACTTCATTTGTGAGCAGGCCAAGATCCACAACGGATTGTCGAGCCACTTATGATGATGATTCTTTCACATCGAAGTTTAAGCAACATTCATAACCTAGATGATGGATGATAGGATCTACAAGGGGATCACTTGCTTTTAAGATATTTAGCTCCCTAACATTAGAAAAAACTAAAACCCAAAATACATTACGATTATTGAGAATATTATTATGTTGATACAATTTTAAAAAACTAAAGCTTAAGCAATATTCACAGCTGGATCACCTGCAGGACAATGCACCATTACACCCAACTCATCATTCTCCCATGATGCACTGGAAAGATTATAGTCACCAAAAACATAGATAACCTTTGCTGAGTATTGCAGGACAACGTTTTCCACAGTTTGACAATGCCACTTATATACTTCACGAGGTCATTGTGGAGGTATGTACACACCACCGACCACAAACTTAACTTCATTAAATTGACATAAGATATTATAGTTGCTCAACCCGATATTCACGAATACTAATGGTTTGTGATTTTCATGTTGGTTCAACTTGACAGAAACTGGAAGTGACTGTAAGAAAGACTCTATTCACTAAACCCACTATCTAGTAAATTTAGTAATTAATTTTTTGCTGCGTTAGTCAAATTTTGACTTCGACTGGAAGTAGCTGAAAGTTACTCTAACTATATAAGTTAAATCAACAATTATTCCCATGCAGTTCATTTGAACAAAATAAAACTTCAAACTTCCTTTTTTCAATAAAGGAAGTCTGCAACAGTAAGTTTATTTCAGCTACTAATAAGGTATGGCAAGAATTTTTCGGTTGTATATTTCCGACAATGGATCTGTCAAAATGTTCCAAGGGTTAGTGGTTAGAAAAAAATGTGTAAAAAAATCATTCATTGATTTTGCCAAGATGCACCTGTATACCAAATTTTATTAAAATAAAATAATTTATAATGCGTGTTCGGATTTATATGTCAGTATAGATTGTTTTTTAACGCAGAAACTGTGGAAGACGTTCAGACAAAATTTAGAAATTAGAAACTTGGAAATACTACGTGAACGACTTGTTTGAAGATGATGAAAGATTAGTGCAAGAACCAATTCATTCAAATAAAACTGGACCATCCATTACGGAAGAAGAATACGAAATACGGGACGACGGATTTGTTCTGGTACCTTATGGGCTTTCGAATCAACAAAATCTGGCAAACTATCATAAAAAGTTGTAAATACAGACAACCTCGTCGAAGAAAGCGGATATTCAAGATTAGCTACGATCAAAAAAGTCAAGCATTTTACTATTGTGAATAAACATGAAAAAGTATTAACTAAGTATATTTTAGATGAAATGACTATCGATCGGATAGCCAAGCGGGCTGAGCTGCTGGCTTCTCATTCGCTTCACTTCGAGAGATGTCAATTCAATCCCCAACTCGGTGTACAGAAAACAAAAAGGCTAACGCAGCAGTTTAAAATTCTAAATGAATTCTGAGGCTTAGTCTAGAATATGCTGGTATCTGATCGGCCTAATGGGTGGAGCAATGCGGCAAGAGATAAGGGCTTGCGGCTCGGTGATACTCCTCCATAGATCCTACCGGAAGGGCGTGTGGCGCCTAAATACCGGGTATATATACATACTAAAAAATCCTCCTAAGAAAATAGTATTAAGGCTTCCTCCATACCATTGTGAGCTCAATCCAATTGAGTTAATTTGGAGAGATTTAAAAAAAATTACATTGCAGCGAGGGAATACTTACTTTAAATTTTCAGATATAAATAATCTTTTTTAATGAAGGAATCACGAGTATTACATCTACAAAATGTTAAAAATGTATACAGCATGTTCAGCAGAAAGTCGAACAAAAGGTATGGGAACTTGACAATATCATTGAGACTCAAGTTGAATCACTGATAATAATTAACGTAGTTACATGAGAACAGCAGGTCAGACTGATTCTGAGTAAAATATTAATTTGCACTTTTTTTTTTGTTTTATTTATTAATCAGATATGTCGAATGTCTTTATTTCTGACAAATTATTTTTTCTGACCTTTGTATAGGTTTTTGCCTTGAAACTTCGTTTTCCTTAATTAAAATAAACCAAATTTCATCCGAAAGCTCTTAGATATTACATTTAATTTTAAAACACATTATTATTCTGTTGGAAAACCTCATTCTAATATTTATTACAGTAACACCGAGAAAACAGTGGTCCAACTAAGTTATATAGTAAATTTTTTCGCGTATAATGACTACTAAATGATACGGTATGCTGTTAATTACCAGTGTCGCCGATAGCTTATGCTACGATGTCTATTAATATAATTTATGGGGTAGCTATGTCAGTTTATACATTGTTAAAATCATGATTTGTGAGTGCTCCTCGTAACATTCGTAATGTATTGGTTGCTATTCCTAGTGCATCTTTATTGTGTATTTAGTGTAGGTTAAATGTAAATTACTTACCATGGAAGAATTTCTAGAAGTCTGTTCGTTAAATTAAAAGGCACTTTAAAACCACCAAAGTGAAGCGCAGTGGCTATACTCATCAATAGAAACAGGTACCTATAGTGTCCTGGGTATACACCATTATGAATACTATTCTGAAAAAGATAAAAAGGACAAATTAATATTTAGCTCATTAAAAAATATGTAGAAAATATATAGGTTTTTGAAAATAGTCAACAATTAATCTGTATTAAAAAAAAAATCAACGGTTCCTCGAGCAAATATTCTCCTTCACTACTTTTCTATAACTGTTTATCTTTGTCTTTTGTGTTATCTTATCTTATTGTCTTATTTCCTTCATTTTCATATTTCACGGTTTTTGCTCCTATGTATTATGTTCCATTACGCTCGTTCTACATTTCTACTCTTACCAATTATTTGACTTAAAATTTGAAATGCTTTTAATCTTCCAGAAACTTTTTGTTGGTGTGCACGTGCCGGTTCTTAAGTGAGAAATACGATTAAGAGACTTTCTATCTAATGTTACACCTTCTCGACATTATTACATTGTATGGAGTTAAAAGATATACTTTCACTAAATCGCTACTAAATAAACTTCGTCACATAGATTGCTTTGTTTGAATTATGTTGTGTTCAGTTTCGTATGTACATATTTTTCAATTTGCATCTAGTCCTATTATGTTTATTACAGTTTTAGTCATTTTTTATAAATATTACTCGTTACAAGGCTACAAGCTCTTCAATAGTGAATCCATTAACAAAGTCATTAATTAATCCTGAAAAGAATATTTAACAATTAATCAACGAGATGATCAAGATGGTGAAGCCCTGAAGTAAATTTCTATTCAGTTTTTTTAGATCATAACCCATATAAACTTGCTTATTGCAACGAAAACACTTTTATTTCTGATTACGACGTTCAAATATTTATTTACTATGTTACTGAACAACCTGCAGGTGTCAAAAACGTGCATTGTATAATAGCCATTTTCTAATTCTTATAACCGATGTAAATTTGGCTCACATGTTTTGTTTTATTTCCTAAATACGAATAATGACAATGTGCAGATCCATCGAATCTACTGTACCACAGAGGAGCGCTTGGGTGAATCGCAAACATACCGAGGTCAACTACTATCTGACGCAGATGCTCTCAGGATCTGGCTGCTTCCGAGCCTATCTTTATCGTGTCAAACATGACGAGTCTCCAGAATGCCCGTCATGCCCTGGATTCAGTGAAAACGAGGATCCTCGTGTATCCTCGTTTCAACTTGCTAGCCGGTACCAAGAACAAAAGGCTAAAATCAGAATAAAAAGCGAAACATCTGGAAAAATCAATATCAAGAATGGAGTAAGACAGGGATGTGTCCTATCACCTTTGCTGTTCAATGTTTACTCTGAGAAGATATTTCAGAAAGCTTTGGAAGGCACCTCGGATGGTATAATTATAAACGGGCAATGTATAAATAACCTGCGATATGCTGATGACACTGTCATACTGGCAGATAATGCTGAAGCCCTGCAACGCTTAATGGACCGAGTAACGATAGCCTGTAGAGAATTTGGAATGAAATTGAATACAAAAAAAACAAAAACGATGGTCATCAGCAAGCACCAAAACAGAAGGGTGAAGGTCAATGTCGACGGAACAGATCTGGAAAGAGTAACAAGAACAACGTACCTTGGAAGTAATCTTGATGAAACTTGGGACCACTCACTAGAGATAAGAATACGCCTGGAAAAGGCACGTACAATGTTTTACAAAATGCAAAAAGTTCTATGCAACCGCCAGCTGGGCATCTCATTGAGAAATAGAATACTTAAGTGCTATGTTTTCTCCACCTTGCTTTATGGTGTTGAAGCCTGGAAAATGACAGAAGCAACACAAAAAAGAATCCAAGCATTCGAACTCTGGTGTTACCGTAAAATGCTCAGAATATCCTACATGAGCCATACGACAAATGCGGAAGTCTTGCGGAGGATCAATAAGGAAAGAGAGCTTATGCTTATAATAAAAGAACGGAAAACACAATGTTTTGGTCACATCATAAGAAATCAAAAGTATGAACTGCTCTAACTTATAATCGAAGGCAAAGTCAATAGCAAAAGAGGACCAGGAAGAAGACGCAACTCTTGGCTTAAAAACCTACGGCAATGGACGAACATGACCTCCATAGAACTATTCAGGGCTGCTACAAATAAGATTAAATGGGCAAATGTAATGGCCAACGTCCTTAAGGATAAGGCACCGTAAGAAGAAGAAGCCGATACTCTAGAAACTGTTTTCAAACAGAAAATTCGACTTGAGACCTTAGTAGGAACTCTGCCTGGAGATTATGAGCGCGAGGACTGGGTGGATTGAGTAGCTCAGAAGCCGCGTTTATACCCACAGCCGGTCCGAAGCCCTGATAAAAGAGGAGGGTTGATGGGCCAGGTTAGCATCCTACCGATTTTAAAAGAAAACATGGCTCAAAGAACCGATATAAAGCCTTGGAATCAGACTTAAACTAAAATGACGAATCACGCAAAAAAAAGTAAAACGAGAAGGAAAAATAAGCCCACATCAGATTAGCAACATGATACATTCTTTCAACAACAAAGACCAAAAGATAATAGAAGAACTGATAAATAAAAACATAGACATTTGTGAAATCCAAGAAACCAAGAAGAAAGGTAAAGACCAAAGACATTATAACCAATATTTTCTAGCATACAGTCAAGTGAAGAAAATGACTATATACTTGTCCAAAAAGAATTTAAAGACAACATAAATAACTGCCGTTATATCTCCGAAAGAATAACACATATGAACATCACAATGGACTACCAAAAATTAAATGTCACATCTATTGATATAACATAAATTTCAGGAGTAAAACAAATATTTAATGAAAACCATGTAAACGCCAATGAAGAAACTCATGGCTAATCTCTGTGCTTTTAACGAACTGAGAATCAATAATACATTTTTCGTCCATAAGCTCCAGTATAAATATACATTTGAAAACTCCAGGGAGCACAAATCTATGATTGATTTTATAGTCACTAATAGAAAAATCCACCAAAGCATATTCCAGATATCCGAACTTTAAACTTAGCAGACACAGGAAGTGAACACAAACTAGTACTAGCAAAAATAAGAATGAAAATAACTGCAAAACATTCTCTACAGCAAATCATAGAGGAAAAATTCAATGTAGAATCACTGTGGAACGACTCTGCAAGAGAAATGTACCAAATGAGGCTAGCACAGGAAACACAGCTGAAACAAATAGACGGCATCGAAGATATAAACATGATCTGGGAGAAAATTACAAACAATATTGAAGAAGCAGAAACAGAAGCTCTAGCAAACGCAAAGTCATACTGAACAAACGAAACAACAACAATACACCATGGTATAACCATAAGGAGAAAGTATTAGAGATTGACATTGAGATGACAAAACTTATACAAAAGCTAATATTACACTACAAGATGGACCAGACACATGGACAAACAGCATAATGATATCAATGTACAAGAAAGGAGATTAAGAAGACCCCAACAATTATAGAAGTACAAATCTACTGAGCACCGCACTTAAGCTGACCACAAAAGTCCTAACCAACAAAATCAATAAACTAACAACTTTATCAGATGAACAACAAGGATTCTGATCCGGAATATCCTGCGTAGGCGCCGTATTTGTACTAAGACAAATCACAGAAAAAAATATTTTGTACAATAAACCAGCATATCTATGTTTTATAGACCTGGCAAAGGCTTTCGATAGCATCCAAGTCGAAAACGTCTTACGCCTACTGTATAAAAGAAACATACCAATCAATATTATACAAACCATCGAAAACATCTATTTCCATAATCGAATACAGGCAAAGATAAATGGAAAACTAACACAGTGTATATCAGTACAAAACTGACTCAGACAAGGTGACTCGTTAAGCCCACTTCTCTTAAATATAATAATGAACGAAATAATTCAAGCAGTATGTAAAGATCATGGTAACAGAATGGGGAACAAAGAAATCCAAATATTATGTTATGCAGACGACGCTGCATTAATCGCCGAGACAGAAGACGAGCTCCAAAGATTAACACACATCTTCAATACAACAGCTAAGAAATACAATATGATAATACCAGCAAAAAAAAACCAAATATATGACAACATCTAAATACCCACTACGATGTAAAATCGAAATTGATGTGAAAATAATAATTCCTGCTTTTCCTGCTAATTAATAAAAACCACAGAGATGAAAATACTCCGACGAATCTGAGGGAAAAGTTTGTTGGGTAGGGAGAGAAGCAAGTGAAGAAACGCAACAATTCCGTGACAAAACGGAAACAGGAGTGGAACGAACACATTAGTAGAATGGTAGAGGATAGGATAGTACGAATAGCACGAGATAAGTCACCAAATGGAGGAAGAAGTATTAATAGACCAAGCAAAAGATGGTGCGACAATTTAAACAATTTAGGAGGCTAATATTGAAGAAGAAACAGGCTTCAAAGCCTACATACAAGATGGAAGAAGAAGATCTTAGTAGGAGAAATGATTTATCAAAGGCAGCTTGGGACGCAATCAGCACATTTGTATCATTTTCAAAACGGGCGAGCTGGAAATAAAGAAGTTTAGAAGACGAGAATCAGTGACTTCGAAAACCTGAAGCAATAGCTAGTTCCACACTCCGTGAACTAATGCCTTATGGCGATTCTGCGGGAGAAACAGAGGCAGAAGAAGGAGGAGGAGGACATATCAAGCAGAACATCTAGTCCTGATGATACATAAAAGTATTTTTCTAAATAAAAATCTATCTCTAAATAAAAAAAAACACACACACAATTCTGTGTATATTTGAGGCACGATGAAGGGATGCATTCAATATTTCGCACGGAAAATCCGCCAAGATATATTAAAAAACAACTAATAATAATTCAAGGATTTGCAGTGACCTTTATTAATATGCCTAATGATTGACCGAATCATTATGACGCTTGTTTACGTCCCTATGCACATACACATTATACAAATTAATAAATCAATACCATTTCGAAAGTTCGTCCGTTTTTTTATTTTAACCAATACCGTACTTTTAGTAACCGTAAGTTTACCGTAATTTTAAAAATC